TGGATGGCCCAAACTTATTTTTGTAACTCTTACTGCTTTGATCATGCTTCACAACATTGTCTTTAGCAACACCAGGATTAAACTACTTCTTTTCTGAACTTTTGTTGTCTTCTTCAATTCGAAGTCTAACAATAAGTTCTTCAACGTTCATTTTCTTTCATTTGTGTTTCAAATAGTTTTTGAAATCTTTCCATGCAGGGGACAATTTTTCAATAATTGCTGCCACTTGAAAGGTTTCACTCAACACCATTCCTTCGGCATGAATTTCGTGAAAAATCACTTGGAGTTCTTGCACTTGACTGATAACGATTTTGGAGTCCACCATCTTATAGTCTAGGAATCTGCCGACTATAAACTTTTTAGCGCCGGCATCCTCAGTTTTGTATTTTCGGTCTAAAGACTCCTACAACTCCTTAGCAGTTTTTATCGTTCTATACACATTGTATAGCGTGTCTGCTAAACTATTCATAATGTAATTTCGGCATAAAAAGTCTGAATGCTTCCAAGCATCAAGTGTACTGACTGCTTGAATAACTCCTTCTCCTTCATTGAGTACAGGAGCAGTCTCGGTCAAGTTTTTGCTCTGTTTGGTTCGACATTCGTGTACGCGGGTCACGTCCACACTCAAGTTCAAGGTCCGAAAGCTATTTCTGTCTGTGATTTGCAACCCCCCCATGCGCGTACGTGGAGAGAGCCTCTATACTACACATGGTCACACCATTTCAATGCATAGCCATATATAAAGTGGTTTTAGTTTCCATGTTTTTCCTATGTGGGACAAAGTTTTCCCACCAACATAGATAATTTCCAATGGTCCACTTTAGACTCCAATTTTTCATTCACCCGAGCTTCATTTTTGGCAAATAAATACATGATTTCGATGTTCTCACGGAGAAGAACACATATCAACTTTGATATTCCAAATTGGACCAACGGATCACATCGAAAATTGTGCCAAAAGTAAGCCAATTCACTCATTTTTCCAACAAGTGTTCCATTTTTATGAATGTGTAATATGTAGTTGACAGACACAAAGAAACAACAAATCAATCAAAAATCACCACAACCAAAAAATGTCTCATTTAAATCATTGCAAGTCTGAACCAGTAAAAGAAAAAACAATATGCATCATAGAACAAAACAGAATATCTGAGAAACAAAAGAGCCAACAAAAATAATTAGCCAGCAAAAGAATTGAATGGTATCAAGCTATTCATTATTCCTTCCTACAGCCCTATTTCTCCATCAGTAATTTCTCCTTATAGTGCGTGAAGCGTGTAAAAGAAACACAATTTTCAAATCATTCTGAGCATAAGGAAACATTGTTAAGAACACAACACAAGGACTATTTTCTACCCCAACCATTTACAGCTATCAATGAGATTGAATAAGATAATGGAGATTATCAAAGATTTGACTCTGCAATTATTTTATCATTATAATTGTATTATATATAGAGATTGTTTCTCTCGGGTGGAATTGGACCTTGAAATCAATTAGCAAGACTGCCTTATTAAATTCTTTTTAGGCTTCTTTTCTTGATAATGGAGGGAACCCTCAGCCGCTACCTTTCGAGTGCGCATTGGGTAAACCATTGGATTGACGCAATAGCCTGTAAACCACGCCAGCTAGGTAAACTGCACAAGGCAAGCCCGGTGTGATAAGCTCGATCGAGAAAGTGTTGGTAAAGGGAATCGAACTCGTGACCAAAGGCTTCCACGCTCACCTACTCCACCAACTCGACCACCCCATGAGGGACTCTTTTTAGGCTTCTTTGTTTGGGCTATAGGCGGCTTCTTTGGGTTGGGTTGGATTATATGGAATGTAGGCCTTATATTAACGGTTTAGTGTTTTGGGCCTAATTTGTTAAGTATTGACTGTTGGGTTACTGGGTAGTGGGGCTTGCCTTTTTTTTTCTTAACTAATGTAGGCTGCGAATGGACAATGGACCTGGATGTGGTGTGGTGAATGGGGGTTTTTTTGGAGTTTTGGACTAGGGCTTGTTTGGGTTTAATAATGAGATTGAAGGTGAGCCAAACAAAAATTGTCCAGTAAAGTAAGGGATTATGGGCTTTTTATTTTGGGTTTTAAAAAAAAAAGAAAAAAAAGAAGGTTTTTTAGTTAAGGAAGAGAGAGAGAGAGAGAGAGAGAGAGAGAGAGAGAGAGAGAGAGAGAGAGAGGGGAT